GAGTGTCTCTTGGTATGTTTGCAGAGCACTTCTTCGGAAGCATTTCGTTCTTTGCGATAGGTCTGGAAAAGCCTTGGTTGCATGTGCTGTTTTTTCCCCCGTTCCTTCGTATTAGGGACAGAAAAAAAAAAAAAAAGCTCTTTTTGGGGGTGGGGAAGGAAGAAGGAAGAGGAAATGAAGGTTTAAGCATGTTTGTGGAGTCGTATCTGTCTCATTTTATTTCARGTAACACTGGGAGTGGGATTCCGTGGCTTTTAAGTACAAAACGTTTATGAGCAAAAACTGGGGAGATTCAAACTTTGTAGGGAGGAAAGCGTTAAACTGATGGCCAGGGAACGCGGATCTGAGAGACACCACCTACGTGCCCCTGCTTCAAACTAGTGGGGATGGAGGAAAGAAAAAAAAAAMCACTGGGGAAAAATACYCTTACAATTTGCATGAATGATGCCACGTAAAATACCGGAGCGAGGAATTGTGCTCTGCAGACGATTTGTGGGCTGGCGAAAGCCTGAAGTGCCTGCTCGGGTCCCGTGATATGACTCGCTCATTTCTGCAGGGCTCATCAGGTACAGGCTCTGCTTCCTTCCTGGGATGGTGCAGCTGGCATTTGATTTCCTCCATGGATGGGAGAGGAGGAGTCCTGTGCAGTTTTTTTCCCCGAGATGATTGCATTTTCTTTGGCCTTGCTGTACCCTGCCTCATTAGTAGGAACTGCTTCTATATTTATTTACCATTATACCATGTCTCTTGGGAAGTGGGGTGTAGTTTGGAGTAGGTATATATGGATTTATCACTCCTAACATTTTTTTTTTCCTCCCATCATGCTAGGACCAAATCCATCAACAGCAGAGAACAAACTTAATTTATTTCTGTGTTTTGCATCTCCTTTTTTTTTTGCCATTTCTCTTCCAAATTGCTAAGARAACATCTCCGAGAYGGAGAGAGGGTAGAAGGGAGAAAGRGATGGGAAATGTCTGTGCAGGGATGCATTTGTTGTCTGCATGTCCTGGGAGCACCGGGCTTGGGAAGGGCAGGGTTTGTTTCTGCATGTGAAAACTGGGCTTTGGGAATGTTCTTTTTCCTTTTGTGAAGATTATTCCTTAGCCTTGCGACAGCCACAACTTTTTTCTGTCTGGTTGACAGAATTATCCGACGAGCCCGGGCAGGAGGCTGGGAACAAGGAACTTGTGTTTCACTCAGCGCTGCCTGTTCTTCTCTCCTCGTTCCCTTAGCACCAGTGCAAGCATCAGAACAGGCATCAGCATTTTTACTCCTGTGTCATCCCASTGTTCCGAGCAGGTCTAGACGACATTGTGGTATGCATGCTGCCAGCTGGGTTACAGGAATGCTACCCTAGGTGAAACGGCAGGATTTTTAAGGAGGGGTGGGGAAATCTGGGAGAAAATCCTGTGTGGATGAGGCCTGGTTATCTCTAGAGCTGCTTCACTGAGCAGTCTCGAGCAATTCCCTGGGTCTGTTGACCTTTCTGGACAACGTGCATCTCTCTAGCATGGTGATTCTGATAATTCCACAGAATTACCAGCTGCAGGGAGCTCATTTTTAAGGCAGTTTCTGTGTGGGTCTTACTGGTCTTTTACAAAGGGGTATTAAAAGTTCATGGCTGTCCAGTGTTTTGAAAACTAAATTATTATGAAGTGTTTACTTTACAGTGATAATCCATAGGTTCATGGGAGTATTTGGTATATTTTTCGTTGCTGTCTGGATCTGAGAAAACTGGGGCTGCGACATTCATTTTTAAAACTAATTTACTCTTTAATAAAATACGTTTTTATTAAGCACGACTCTCAGGAATTGTTCTGTCGTTAACTTTTGGGACTGCTCTTTTTGTGTTGTGTGTCAGTGGGGCAGGGGTGAGATTTGGGTCTTTGGGTGGGGAATTGGGATAATTACTGAACCTGAACCATGAGAAAGGAGGGAGCTGTACTGTTCCTTATACCAAGGAATCTGGGAAGATACTTGGTTTTATATGTTAGAAAAGAAATGAATTTTCAGGAAACAACATRTTTTAATCTAAAGAAAGCAGCTTGTGCTTCACAGTGATTTCTTGCAGAGCTTTTAAGGACATTACAGAATGGCAGGTTACAGTACTGGCATCTGTAGCAAATCTTYTTCATCTGCAAAGTTTAGAATTTGAAATCAAAATACTGTCAGTTTAAGAATCTTACTGCAAAAAAAAAGATGCCTTTGTTCCTCCTGTCGATAACTTCATGCAGCTTTGATTTCAAAGTCCCTGAAGTTGATTTCACGTTATGCTGATTTTAACAGAGTGGGATTGGATTCTGCATACATATTCTCGTGGGATTGGGCTTTAATTATACCTATGCTGATAATATGATTTTATGGGTTATCAATGCYGTGAGACTGATACTGTGATGACAGTGGGATTTTTAGGACATAATGAGGTGAATTTGATTTTTTTGGGGTGGGGGTTTTAACTCATAACCCTAAATCTAGTTTTATATGTAAGGTTAGAAATAAACTGTATTTTAGCATTCTAATATTCCTGAATTGACTAAAGCTCCCTTCTGATTCGTATTAAATTAGGATGGGTGGAAGAGTTTGTGTTTGAGCATTCAGTCATGCAAACGGRTTGTGTGGTAGCTGTAAATGCAATTCCCAGGGTTAATGCTAAAGATAAGTAATTTGACAAATGCTTTTAATTTGGGGAACAATACAAGAAAGAATGGCAGGATATGAAAAGAAAGTGCTATTTTTCGTCTCGCAGGTGGCAAACGGAGGTGTAGAGGGATGAACTTGCCCAGGTTCCTACAGGGAGTCTCCAGCAGAACTCGCAATCAGTCTGGGATCTCAAGGGTTTGTCAGGGCTTTAATCAGTTTTTCTTCTCTGCTCATTAATTGGCTAAGTTTGACATTTTGAAAATAACATCTAGAGATTATTTCTCTTTTCTCCAGTTTCAAACTTTATCTCCTGAAGTTTTTATTTTTTCATTTTGAGTCAAGCCTTRAAAACACAAGGTTGGAAAACTTGATCTGAGCAGCACCTCCCTGACATATGATACTATCTCGAAACAGCCCCTGACAAGTGAACCCTCTCATTGAAATCATGTGAGGAATTTTATTACTCAACTCTGAAGATCTTCTGGGGGAAAGGAGGTTGCAAACTATTAACTATGTGGTCTTCATTGCAAGCTGGCAGATGAAATGTTCTTATGTATTCGAGGCTGTCATGTGGTTCAC